GAGCAGAACGCCCGGTGGAGGGGAGAACTCTTGCTGCTGAGTTTTGAACGTACTGTAATCTTGCAATAAGTTTTTTGGGAAGACCAAGAAATAAAGCATTGCAATAATCCAGACATGATGTGATTAATGCATGGATTAAGATTTCAGCGTCAGAAAAGGACGCTAAAGGGTACCCAAGGTGTTAAAAAGCGACGCCAAGCGTGTGGCGAGTTGGGAGGGAGAATGTGTCTGCAAAAGGTGGAGGGGGAGAAACTCCAGACTGTCTTTGCAACAACAAGAAACCCGAATTAATATTCTGCCTTTAAAAGCCAGAGGGGGAGCATCTTGTGGGCTGGACGGCAGTGAAAGGATTGATTCCCATTGTTACGTCACGTGACAGCTCAGCATGGGAGTACGTTAAAAAGAGAGTTAAATACTGTCCATTGATGATTTGAGTTTTCCTCAAACGACGGACTAAGATGACGTCTTTTTTAGGCTTTCAGCCTTCAATATTTTGCACGTAGAGAGCCTAAGCCCCTCCCCTTCCGGTGGACCGCCATGGGACCTTATTTGTACGTGAGTCACCGGTGAGAGACGAGTAATGTTTTGACCCGTTTTGAATTGTGCTCTGCTTGTTTGCAGTTCTGCACTGATGATCCAGCTGTGAAGAAAACATCATGTTGTTCATTCCTTTTCTTTGTTTTAATTAGCATCAGCTGTTTCATGTGAAAGCCGCTAATCTAAATAAACTTTGATTACTTAGAATTAAAGTCAATCACTGTTCCTTCGTGAGACCTTTCCACCAAACCACCTGATTGCCTTTCCTGAAGGCAAGGTCGGTTCTGACTTTAAAGACTCATCACAGTAACTCGTCAAACTGTACGTGTATTGGACGTGTAGTTCTCTCAGCTGAGATGAACTAAAGCGATGAATCACGGTATCTGCAGCTTTCTGTGAATGTCAGGCAGTTACTGGAGATCCTGAAGACCAGCTGGAAACCCACCAAACCTCCCAGAATGCACCTCTCTGATTGCTGATTATCAGCAGGAGGGGTGAAAGAACCAGGTTCTGATCCACTTCATAAATAGGTTATCAGTAAAGCAAGCAGGATGAGATATTGTTGTTAATTCAGCGAGAGGGACCTCTGCGTCTTTTAATACGTCGACGCAATAAATAAATTAAAGCCATAATGTTCTTTCCTCCTTCCAGCACTATTAATAGTAAGGAGGACGGGCTGCGGATCCAGAAAGGATTAGCATCTGTGTTTGATGTGGTTCCACTCTTTTGCGCCCGAATGCGA